CGCAAACATTGCTTAATAAAATAATTACAGCGAAAACAAACTACAAAATTCATACCTGGTACAAAATTATTAAAGATCGCATATTAATTGTTTGGCCAATACCACTGTGACACAGTAATCTGTGTACGAGCAAGAGAGTGAATGCATTATACACTATTGCGATTTAATAAATGCCAAGAATAAATAAACTTACACAAAAAATAACAATTGCACTCTTTGGTTGAAGAGTGCAAAGTCCATTGAAATTGCATCGTTGATTGTTAAATATGAATAAAAGTGACCAGAGACCTGTATTAGACGGGAGATCGGACTGACGGGTAACGAAATAAATAAGAGAATGAGTGCGAGGTAAAACATAATATAAACAGCAATTTGAGAGTCACGTGTATTCCGACACCTTGTCATACATTGAATTTAAATTTTCAGCGTCTCTTTTTAAGTTGACGGCATTTTTGTGCTTTTTAATAACGAACATCTCAGCGACTTCGCGTTTCCGTGTATGTTTTTCAGTAAAATTCTAGTTTCATTCAGCATCTCATTCGGCATCAAGTCCAAATGTATCGCGTAATCAAGCACTAATTGATCGGCGAGGCGTTCGATAAAATGTATTACCGCAACACACGCGCGGTTCATGTGCGTTTAACTGCGTTTGAATGAAATGACATTACATGATTGATAACATGACGGCACACGTTCTTCGTTTTGCGAGACGCGTCTTGACGAGCACGATTACGCTCGCGAGTTCTTGAGCAGTGGCAAGGTTGCGGAAAATGACATTTAATCGTTTCCACGTGTCGATGATTTGTGCGTCGACTCGACAAACCGCACACGGGGCATTACTCGCGTCACGAGCGTTTAAGTTCTAACAACTTAGTCCTGACACCGCACACAACTCGAGGAGACAGGCGATATGTCTTAATGCTTTTGTACAGTTCATTTGTGTGAGAAAAAAGTTATTCGTCTTCCCTGTTCGCATTATCGTTCAGCGTACGCTGTTCTCATTTACGTAACATAACGCGTTATTAAAGCAATAACTTGATTACTAGCGTTGGTATACGCGTGTATATTTACATATATATAATTTAAATACGTCGCGTGGACCATAGGAAGAGTTGGTGCTCAGTCTTAGGCCCGGTCTACAATGAGTCGTTAGTCGTTAGTCAGAAGTCGCAACTATATGTTGATCCTTTTCCTTTCTGGGTGGAAGAAAAAGGACCGACATACAGTTCCGACTTCTGACTAACGACTAACAACTCATTGTAGACCGGGCCTTAATGATAGCTCGAAGCTTTACATTTATTTCAATGAAAATGTTTACACACGCAAGAATATATAGAGGAAAGTGCCCTATTATGAGATAGGCTTGTAATGTAAGACAGCAGGTTTTCAAATTCAATCGCAAATCTTTTTTCGCTACGATTACACGATCTAACGATGAATTTTCCACTAAACAGATTTCACTCCAAGAGCAATAAATCCATCGTGGAACCAAAGACGACGCCTATTAATTTAGCGAAAATTCCGCTGTCTCGTATTAGGAGGCAAATCCCCATCCCGTAATAGGGGATTTGCCTCTACATGTGCAGAAAAAAATGCAATTCAAAATATATTCATTAAATATAATATTAAATATAATATTTCATTAAATAACGAGACGCGGAAAAAATGTATTACACAGAGAGATCGATTATGTCTTCGAGTGCCGACGACGATACATAATTCTCTGAAATTTTTTCACATCCTTCGAATAATTAACTTCCGCATTAACGATAGCCTTATCTCGCCGCTTCGGCGGTAGAAAAATATGGCGGCAGTTGCGACATATAGAACAGATAAATGCGAAAAGTTACGTAGATTGACGCACCACGAGGTTTCCGATCGAAATTATTGACCAATCGCGGTGTCTCGATTTCCGGTTGCAGTGGGTGCGAGCGGCTACATCGTCTCGGCGGCGCTCGTGCTGATAGTCGGCGCACTGGTGGGTGTCCTGGCGACGATATCGCGTCATCTTCATCATCGTCGGCTGTTGGTGCACGAGCCGGTTCCCGCCGGCTCTGCTTCCTCCGCTTCTGCCTCGATTCTCCACCACTATCATCGGCATCACCATCATCGTCACCGTCATCGTCGTGAGGAGCCACCGCCGCCGCCGTTGCAGCGCTGTCTTCTACTACAGGATCATTATCGTTATCCTGATACACCCGTGAGTACCAACCATCCAATGCTGATCGGGGACGCGTGAGATTTAACTTTGGGAAATGATGTTTCCTACGAGCGCGATTTCAGCGACGCCGATAATACACGTCGCGACATCGACGTATAACAAACGGTTAAAGGGTTGAAAAGTGACGCAAGCAGGGGGCGTGTATTTTTTATCACGCCCGCGCGGCCCTTGAGGTATCTATAACGCTTGCGAACACCGGGACAAATTTATTGTGATAACCGGGAGAATAGGGGGTAAATTGCGCCAACGGGATGGATTTATATGCGGATTATCGCATATATCTCGAAGCTGTTCGAAATAAAACCGAAGCACACTTCCGCATATCCGCTGAAACTGTATACGTCGTACTAATTTTAGCAGACTTGACCGAGTTCGTCGAATAGCTTCTTTACAAATAACGGGCTCGAACGAGTTCGCGACGAACGTCGTATCGCATTCTTCCCGGAACAATTCCCTTTCTCGTTACTTTCTGCCGCATTTCACTGAACAATCGCCGGTCTCATTACGCATTCCTGATATCGCGCGTCACGAGTCCAAAAGGCACACGCGCGCTATCGTCGGCGCTGTTTTTTTTTCTCTCTCTCTCTCTCTCTCTCTTTCTCGCCAGGCAATAGACACGCCGTTGTCATCACGGCCGCGCGGCGACCAGGCGAGCACGGGGAGTTTCACCGAGGTCAGAAGGGGGGGAAAAAGGAAGTGCGATTTCCCATCCAGCGCGGAGGTGGTTATCGGCGACGTTGTCGACCTTCGGCAAGATTATTACACGATTCGCAGAACGTCGAAGGCTATCTGGGAAAAAGCCTCCCGATATCTAATCTCGGCAGCCGGCCCGGCCGTGGCGGCACAGCTGCATCTATCCGGCGCGTTGCATTCTCTCCCTCTTTCCTTTTTTTTTCCTCTCGTGCCTCTGCAGAAAGGCAGACTACGCTCGCGGCCGCGCGCAACTTCTCGTTCCTCCGCTTTTTTTCCCCCCTCGCGTCTCCGTGTCCCGATTCAACCGCTCGAAACGCGCGATAACACGCGACGGGGACGAATCTAGGACGCGAGCATGATTCACGGGATCCACCTGCGGCTCGTAATCGATAGCGTTATGGTTTCGCTGCGAGTTTTCAGACGAGGACCTTGCGAAGCGTCGAGTTGCACGGGACAAGTCCTTTACTTAAGGGGATGCTGGAGTGATTCTGCACTTTCGCACCTTTTGCACTTAAAACTGTCTGTTTCGTGGAAAGATTTGTGTAATACACAAATTAAATGGCACGTGTACAGACGATCGAAAGCAGCTTGCTATTCCGGCTAAATTAAAGAACAATGTGGCATCATTGAAACTAAGTTTGTAAGTCTAATAAGAAATAATAGTGAGCAACACACCATACAGTACATGTAGTATGTGTGTTGCTCACTATTATTTCTTATTAGACTTACGAACTATAGTTTCAGTGATGCCATATTGTTCTTTCATTTGGCCGGAGTAGCGAGCTGCTTTCGATCTGTACACATAAGCCATTTAATTTGTATATTACACAAGTGTTTCCGCGAACTGACAGTTTTTAGGTTAGAAAGGTGCAAAAGTGCAGAATTACTCCAGCATCCCCTTAACGCAACGCAACTCGTTAATAACGTCTCACCTTCGCTCTCGTTGAAAGTGTTTTCGGGTTATATTGACTCTGATTTTTTCGGTCGAAAAATTGGACGAAGTAATTTTATCGTCTTGAATTGAAAAGTAACAGTGGTTACGAGACAAGATGTTCGAGAAAGTCTGTCCGAAAAATATTTACCTCCGTTCACGCAAATTCTTTCAAGAATGTCCCCTGGACGTAGCGTACAATCGACGGCGCTTTCAACGTTCTCTATTGTTTCTCTCGCGAACGCACTCGGACATTCCCTGGGCAATTTTCCCCGAGCGCGAGTGCGCCGAGGGAATTTTCTCTTAAAATTTACCCCGAAAGTCATGCGATCGCGGGATTACGTGGCACTTTGAAGAACCGTGTGAGAATTTGTGAAAGTTTACCATATGTTCTAAGTAAAATGTATATACTAAGTATAATTACTACTCTGGAAAAAAAAGGGAATTAGCAACCCATTTTGGGGCCCACAATTAGTAATCGAATTATTTGAATTGTTCGTAACTCTACTCTGGGAAAAATTTTGACCGTTTCTTTTTGTAGCTAAGCAACTTAACATTTCGGTTGGTGCAGCAAATCTATACACCACAATGGCCCCAGCGGTTTACCCCTCGATATCCAATGTATGTATTGTGTATTAAAAATTCACATACACTGCATATAAATACATGATGCATAGATGTATAATATATCAAAATGTTTTGTGGGTATGATAAAATTTCAAGAAGCTCTCATAAAACTGTTCGAAATGCCGCGTTACGCCGCGATCCTCGGGATAAATTTTTAGTAAACACGATCTCCGCGGGTCGTAATATCGTTCGCGAGACGTAACACGTCTGTACGTCTGTACGTCTCACTTAGCGACGTATCGTCCCGATGGCGAGAGATACCGGATCCCGGGCATCGATCGGTGGCGGAGCCCTTTTCCTCGGCAAAGCCCCGAGGGTACAAGGACGTCGGCGCGGCGTCCACCGCGCGCGCGCTTCGGTTTCCATCGGCATCGGGCGATGGGGAACTTAATTTGGAAGTTACCGGTCCCGTGATTACGTCGAGGAGAGTCGGCGGAAGTTCCGTTCTCCTTCTCGCCGCCGCGCCGACGAGACGTTGCGATGCGTTTCGTACAGCCGTCACGCCTGCCCCCTTTCTACCGCCGCCGCCGCGACGTGGACCATTGTTATTCTAGATTGCATCGCAAATTAGATTACGGCGTACTACGGGACCGCCCTTATTCCCGCGCGCGCCGACGCCGACGTCAACGCCGACGACGACGACGACGACGACGACGACGTCGACGACGACGTCGACGCTGCTCTATGCTCTTTGGCGGAGGCCGAGAGGATGCGGCTTCCTTTGCTCCTCTCGGTCGCGCATCCTCCCTCGTCCTTATCTCGCCCCCCGATCCGCGCCAGATTGCGGCACACACGGCCGCCGCCTCCGCCGCGGCCGTGCAGACGCAACGGGCGACTTTGGGATCCTACGACTGCAACGTCGAAAATTTTCTCCTCGAGCGGAGATCTCGCCTCTCTTCGTTATTCTCCTCCGGTGGAACTTTCGCCGTTGCAGATTTTAAATCGGATAATTTACAGAGATTTGTATAAAATCGTGTTTCGGACATGGTATAACGTAAGGATCGACGTATCAGAGGCGACTCTTGTTTTAATTTTCACTACTTTAGTTTCAGTTTGTTTCTGATTTTTTTTCCCTCCCAATTTATGTCCACTTCTGTCAATGCAGATCAACCCGGTTTAACTTCTTTTTTTTACCTTTTTCTGGCTCTATGAGAAAAAGATGGGGAAGTAAATTAAACCGAGATTAAAATTGTACTGCATTGGTGGAATTGGACATTAGTGTAACAACGCGATAATATGATCAAATTATCCATTTTGCCGTCGGGATCCGCGAAAAGAATAACGTGCATAGAGTGCCGTTATCTTAATGCAATCTTATTTAGATTCGTTCTCGATGTTCTTACTCCAATTTCACTGTCGGGTATATCGCTCACATCGCTCTATTTGCTCGGAATAGTGGCAGCTAAATAACGTGACGATACAGCCGATCAATATCCTTCGGTCATATTAAAACTACGATTGAATTAGCTCGCGTCAAATTTTATTGGAGATCTTTCTTTCTTATTTTTTTAGTTTCTGTCGATGTTTCTTTCGGCGAATGCGCGCTAAATCATCGGGTCTTTGTTAATTTCGTTATTGGCGCTCGTACGTTCCAGCGATGACGAAAGGGTTAAAAGCCTCGTGTCTCAATTGACGTCTTTTCGACGCTTCTTCGGAGCGCGGAGTACTTGTCTGACCTTCCGGCCGACCTTCCCGGGCCAAGATAGCGGCGGAACCGTAGATAGTCGACCGTAAAAGAGAGGAGAGATTAGTCGGGATAGGAGTAAATATTATGTCTAGCATTTTGCAGCGGTAGTCTCTCCGGTTACTCGTTCGCAGACTGCCATTGTTTTTCTCGTTTTACTCCTTGCACTCTCTTCTCTTTGCAGAAGAAGCTCGGCGGGCAGGTCGATCGGGCATTTCGAATTTTGTTCTTTCCTTTGTTTCTCTCGTACGACTCGGCGCGCATGCACATGAGGCTCGCTTGCGAAAGGCGGCTCGCGTTCGCAACCATTTCAATCCAGTTTGGTTATTATCTCCAAGTGGCGCATCATCTGTTTACGCTTCCTGTTATCATAGATGAAAGCGATAATCGTTGAGCAAAGGAGCACGTTCAGCAGCCGGCCAAATGAAACGCGAGCGGAGAAGATTAATCGAACGGATTAAACGAGAGAGTCGGAACTTGGCCCCGTCCCGTGGAAAACGCCGGCGTGTCGCGACCGTATAGCGACGACGTCGGATAGCGGTGTTTATCCAGCGTCGCGTCGTCGCCGATGGCGTCGTGGGGGCATCGTGGAGAGTGGATGCACCCGTAAAGCACCGCGACGCCAACGAGATGCGACGCGACGCGGCGTGGCGTGGCGCGGCGCGGCGCGACCCGACCCGACCCGACGCGACGGTGCGCGACGGACGTTACGCGTCCGCCGTGCGAGCCGCCGTGTAAACCCCCGCGGATCAAGGCGACACCCGGACTTTCCCCGGTAACGTTAAGCTCGCGCTCGCGAGCGGGGAAGCAATGACCTGATTTGCAATTTATTACGTTTGGGCGACGTCCAAGTACGGCGCATTGGCGCCGCTGCCAAATCGGCGGCGCGGCTGCCGATCGGGGCCGCGTACGAGGCACCCGCGAGCGTTCCCACGCAAGCGAGTGAAAAAGAGAGAGAGAGATAGAGAAAAATGCGAGAGACAACGCGCGCCCGCGTGTCACCTGTTTACGCTTCCTATTGTCGTAGAAAGCGATAATGCTCGCTGAGCAAAGGAGCTCGTTCAGCAGCCGGCCAAGCGAAACGCGAGCGGAGATTAATCGAACGGATTAAGCGAGAGAGAAAGAGAGAGAGAGAGAGAGAGAGAGAGAGAGAGTCTACGTGTGCCGGCGGGAAAAACAATCGGGGGAGACGAGCGGGCAAACAGAGGCCCCAGCGCGAAGTTCGGTAAACGCGTCCGAATTCCGACGCGGGCCGCAAAATCACGAATGGCGATTCCCGGTCATGTTCCCGCCGCGGTGTATCCGCGTCGGCGGGGTAAACACGTCGAGCGTGACACGCGTCGTGACAAGTCGTTTCGGTGAAACGTGTCCGGCCGTCGGAATCGCGCGTTCGCGCAGATTCGTCTTCTTGGCTCGCGTTCAGTGGAACCGTGAAATCATTATCATTAGGCTGAATTCACACCTCGGCAGAAGAGCAGAACAGCAGAAATACAATCGGAACCAATCGGAACTCTCGCTGGTAGTCGACGGTTTCCACTTTCTGCCAGCAGAGTGTGCTGTTTACTACCAGCGCGAGTTCTGATTGGCGTTTGCTTTCCCGTTTTCTCTGCTTCTCTGCCATGGTGTGAATCCAGCCTTAGATCGCCCTCCCCCTCCCCCTCTTTATGTGGCGCGCAACGAGTAAAAAATATGCGGTGATTGTAAGATGCTTGCCACTGGGAAAGTCGAGCGACGATGGTCGAGTTTCTATTTATTTCTATTAGATTTCGTGTCTAAGGTCCGGTTTCACTAAACGTCGTTTAACTCTAATCTTATTGTTAGTTTAATTCATGTTCGTCTCTTTCTAGAGTAAAGGGCTGTGTACACGATGCTAGAACTCGGTCCAAGTTCTAGTTTCGAGAAAGGCGTAGCAGCTTGCAGCCATTCCATAAGAGCTGCAAGTTGACTCGCTTCACATTTCTCGGAACTGGAACTTGGACCGAGTTCTAGCATCGTGGACGCGGGCCTTCGGAGAAAGATCAGTCTGGATTTTACGAACAAGTGAAAATGAGGTCAGCGAGCCCCGACGTTGCAAGATAATGTTGTCCAGACGTGCTAAGTGGCCGGTACAGTATCCACTTTCCGCGGCGATCGGTTACGGGCTATTGATATTTTGGGATGGCGAGTGTGACGGTTTTCGTGAGCGCTCCCCATATGTCATGGGGATTTGTGGCCCGCGGGTGGAACTAGAATATACGTGCGGTGACGTAACAGCGACCGCCCT